AATTTTAAATTAAATATTTGATAAACTTTATAATAATACACATTTACATTGTTTTGATATGTATTTGAAGGCATAATAAAAGGTTTACTTTTGGATCCAAAAGGAAAGTTTGATTTCACAAAAGAATATTCTCAAGAATTGTCTGCAATTTATTCAAAATATTTGAATAATAATCCCTTTATTGATGGCTGTTATGGACGGAGCGGTCGGGCGTCTGATATAACGAACAGTGATTTTATTGACGCTATAAATGAGGCAAACATTCGGTTTGAAGATTACGTCAAAATGGATAACAAATATATGGAAGACAATCCTCGGGTCAAGAATTTTAGTCTTTTTATATATGAAGCAAATCTTAAGACAAAGTTTAATGAATTTGTTTCACAATCTTTGGCTCAAATGTAAGTTTGAAATTAAAATATTCTATAATATAATGATATTTTTAATGGTAACCAAAAATGAATTACATATTTATATTATTTGCAAAATATTTAAGGAAATGTCTGAACAAATCTGAGACAACAGTAAATCTGCCGCTAATAAAACCACCAAAACGTGTGACAAATAATCAATACTTTTGTGATTTGGAAAACAATGTAAACGAAGAGATTGTTTGCGATCCTTATTACAAATACCGGCGAATCGATGGAAAGTGTAATAACTTGAAGACAAGCAATTGGGGCGCAGCCTTCCGGTGCCAGAGACGGCTACTTCCGCCTGATTTTGGCGATGGAGTCAATAAAGTGAGGCTTTCATCCGATGCCAGTCCTCTCCCTAACGAGAGATTAGTCGGCAATTCGTTGGCCATTGAAAGTAACGGCAAGACATCAAACAAAACGTTAATGCATTTGATTTGGGGTCAAGTGATAGCCCACGACATACTTAAGACATTGCAGTACTTCGGTGTGGCTCTCAATTGCTGTCCGACCGCCGGACCCACACATCCCGAGTGTGTCTTAATTAATAATATACCTCACGATAGGCTAACCATCGCTTATAACGAGTCGTGTCTGAGTATCGCCCGATCCACGGCTTGTGGGACCTGTAGTTTAGGCTCGTATCAAATTATATGAGTTTAATATGATTTAAATAGTGAATTCACACCTTTTGCATATACAGGGGCTCGCAATCAAATGACTGCTCCGACCTCTTATCTCGATCTGTCACTAGTCTATGGCTTTTATAATCCAAATTCAGATCTATTGAGAACTTTTCATAAAGGTTGAATAAACTAATTTACACGTAATTTAAATTACGTCAATACAGTCAACGTTTCATATGGAGACGCGGTTGACATCTATTGGCGGTCATAGTATACCTGTAATGTTATTTCCAACCCATAGGTGTCTCTAAACCGTAAATTTTTGAAATAGTGGCCAATATTTGGCTACATTTACGCTCTCTATAGTGTTTAATGCTATGAAACAACTATTTGTGTCTTAAAATGATTTGAAATTATGGTGTTTTACCGACAATTCATTAACAAATTTTTAATTTTTATCTAAAAAAACATATAACAATTGAAATAAATGATAAGTGCACTTTTAATAGTAAATACAACTTGTTAGTTATACAATTATATTGGCACATTGCATGGAGTGAACATTGTATACAATGTCCACAAATAGATATCAACCGCACGACCACTATATCCGATGTTTACTGTAATTAATTAATTAATATAATGATTGATTTGCGTTGTCTTCAGGAAGACTATTGACAAACGAGTCACTAATGAACACAACACTACTGCCGGAAGCAGTGCTTCCCCTCGACCTCGATATATATGACCTGAACTCATGCTCTGCCCCTCCGGACAGGCCGTGGCTCAAGTGCTTCCGTAACGGCGATGGTATCCGCGGTAATCAACAGCCACTCATCGCCGCAATGACTCTCGTATTAGTGGTCAGACATAACCAACACGCGGACGGCTTGGCCCGAGTCAACCCCCAATGGACCGATCAAACACTCTTTCAAGAGTCCAGGTTTTGATTTGACATTTGTTGCACTTTTCTGTCCATTTATTAAATCATTTTTGTGTTTATTTAGGCGTCTATTAGAAGCTGAATATAATTTTATAAATTTTAATGAATACTTGCCGTCAATTCTCAACAAAGCGCTTATGGATTATTTTGATCTCAATGTTAAACCAATGGGTAGTTTTAGTGAATATAATGCGACCGTTTCTCCGGACGTAATCAATGAGTTCGGGTCCGGAGTTTTGCGTTACAGTCACTCCAATGCAAGAAATAATTATCCCATTATTAACGACAATCGTGTGGACGACTCGTCACTGAAATTGAAATACAATTTCAATAAAATGACTGAATTATGGGACGGAAATGTGATTCACGTTATATTCAAAAGTGTTTGTATTTATCGTTAATTTGTGTTTTGTTTGTCAGAAAAATGGTTTAATTCGCGGCCTTTTGGAGGACAGGGAGGAGACGACTGGCTTTCACTTCGCATCTGATTTGCGAAACTTTAATTTCTTCACTCCTTGTAATCTACGGGTTAGGGATCTGTACTCTACGGACATCGGGAGGGGTAGGGATCACGGGATCGCTCCCTATGTCTATTATGTTCAATATTGCTCCGGCATTGTTGTCCAGAGTTGGCACGATTTGCACCAATTAATACCCATTGAAATTGTTTCTAAATTGAGACAAATATACAAGTATTTAATTGTTAACTAACATTACTGTCAAGTTTTGTAAAGTATATTATTTATTAACAGACACTATAATGATATCGATCTATATATCGGAGGTTTGGCCGAGAGATTGCTGGACGGGTGTAATGTTGGGCCCACTTTTGCCTGTATTATAGGAATACAATTTTATCACTTGAAATTTGGTGATCGCTTTTATTTTGAGCACTCAGCACAAGTCAATTCATTTACAACCGGTACTATTGAATAATGACCAGTGATTTGATAAATTAGGACTAAAACTACTTACATAGTAAAAAGCTTGAGATAACACATATGTAATGCAGTGAACACACAATCATGTAATCTACACAACATTTGTATGCATTGATGGGAGTGTTCACTGCATTGCATTTGTGTTGATAGTGCAGTGCATGCATAGGGGCTCTAATCTAGTTTTGTAATGATACAAGTCTTTAACTATTTTATACAATCTATAATTTAATATAAATATAAATAATATGCATATGATAATTAATATAAATAAATTTGTATACAATTTATATGTTAATTGTATTAATAGATCAGTTAAATCATATCAAACAAAGCTCTTCGTTGGCAAACCTGTTGTGCAAAACAAATAATTTTAAATCAATACAAACGAACCCATTGTATGTGACATCAGATACTAATCCATATGTATTATGCAATCAATTTCAAGACATTGATTATAACTTATGGGCCGATAATGTTTCAAATCAATAAATCCATCGATTCTTGTATTTATTGTAATCATATTATAAATAGTATTTATTGAATACAGTTTTATAAAGCTTTATACAGTATTTTGTAATACTTTGATTGAAACATTTGATTGTAAATGATATAATTTTAAGATACATTTAAATTATATGATATAATAAAATTTATTACCAGGACTATTTTTGTAATATAGTTTTCTTAAAAATAGTATAATATATTAGTAATTCATTATTAATTCAAATTTATAAAAAAAAATGCATTAAGATATTTTAAAATCTAATAATTAAATAATACTGTAATTGAAAAATGATTGAAATGTATAGAAATGAGCGCAAATTTAGCTACACTTACATTAAATCCCAAAAATTGTCTCAATTGTTAAGAAAAAACTGTTGCATTGAATAAACAATGAAATCAATGTCTTGTTTGTGTTTTAATTGAAACTCAATTTAATTGTGTGATTCGTTTGCTTTGATATCATATATATTACGATTAAAATCAGTGAAACATTTGTGTGGAAATGGAGCCCAAATCGGTGTCGAGTCAATCGGTGTCTATCGTTGTGAGGGATTGTTTGGATTGTGATCTAATTGTGAACAGTCTTTCCATCCAAATGGTCGACCAGTGGTGCAGCCCTTCATTCAGACCATACACTCCAAAGCGGAGCCAATCGGCGGCCGAGTGTCGGCCAGTGCTTACGGTCGATGAGTTGACCACTCAATTGCGGGCAGCGATCAGTGAACGGAAGCGCATATCAGGAACACAAGTGCTAACAATCGGCGATAATGTCGTGGAGTACTATTTGGCCAATCAATCCGATCCGCCGCTGATGTTGCGCACGGAGTTCATCAGCGAAGACATCGGAGTTGGAGTGTTTGCCACTCAAGTGATACCCAAACACACCTTCATCTGCGAATACGACGGCCAACTCATGGACGCACAGCAGGCGAAGGTATGACCACTGAAACTGTTTGCCATTCAACGCATTCATCCATTCATGTAATTGTATGTCTCGTACAGGTGTGGGAAGTGTTTCACGCGCTGAGAGCTGAGGGCTGTTATATGTATTACTTTACCCACAAGAGTAAGCGCTGGTGTCTCGACGCGACTGCGCCCACGGCTCGGTTCGGCCGACTGTTGAATCACAGCCGCAAACACCCGAACGTGAAGGCCGTAGCCGTGGAATACGAGGGCCGGCCATACGTTGTGCTGAAAACGTTGCGCGAGATTAACGTCGACGAAGAGTTGCGCTATGATTATGGAGAAAGAGATCCGGCGGTAATTGCGGCCAAGCCTTGGCTCAACACATCATAGGTTTTTTGTAATTTAGTTTTTCGTTTTAATCATTTCAATCAAGCATTTGATATAATTATTGTAGAAAGAAATTTGTTATTTTTTTTAACTTCGTTTTAATAACTGTACACTAAATACAATCATTAATTATTTAATTAATAATCAAGTGTTTTTTCCGATTATCAGTAATAATTATTTATTACTCTATTATTAAAGTATTTGTCGAAAGAGTAGTTTAATTAAAAATAATGTTTTTGAAATAATTTTGTAACAATTATGATATAGTACTTAAACTTTATTCACGAAATAAATTGTAATTAAATTCATTGAATTGTTTGCAATCTATTCGCGGATTGGCTGCTGAGGGGACCAGAAATGGGTACAACTGTATTGACTCGAAATCAGTGGTTTTGCACAAGAAGTTAGCCATCGATGCCGTGGACTTGATATTCATTAACTGGGCTTTAGTTTGCAATGAAACAAATAATACAAATTCAATAACTATGGAAACACATAGTATTATTAGTGTGATTATAATGCATACCCCGATTGAATGAACTAGGTTGATTTTGGTGCTCAAAATACAATCTATCACCAAATTTCAAGTGATAAAACTGAATGCTTACTAAACAGGCAAACGTCGGGCCGAGAGTCGAGCCCTTCATATGCTGTTCAGCCAAACCGCCGACCATTAGCTCAATATCTGTAAAACTCCTAAAGAAATAATTGATTGTAATTTCAATTATGATGTCATTTACTGAACAACAATACAATACTTGTAAATAGCTTTTAATTTGGCGATATTTTCGTGCGATATATATGGATACAAATCCTGCCATTGATTAATGTGTTTCCCATAGCAATAGTGTATGTAATAAACATATGGAGCGATGCCGTGGTCTCGAGCCCTCCCGATGTCTATAACAAACAGATCAATAACTCGTGGTTTTACGACATTGAATGCGAAGTAGTCCTTAACGTCGGGCTCATAGCACAGGCCAGTGGACCGCATACTGTCTTCACACATGCCTTTCAATAACGAGTTTGTCTTTGCGATAGTGTTTACGAAACGGGAAAACAATGCCATTAGTTATCAATGATTGAAATACTGTACGCGATATACCTTTCCGTCCCATATTTCGGTCACTTTATTGAAACTGTATCTCAATTTCATTTGCGATATGTTTAGACAACTCGTCTCGAGTATAGGAAACTGACTGTTAATGTTTGCGTGACTGTGTCTGAAAGCCGCGGCTCCGAACTCCTGCATTACATCCGGATTCACGTCCGCATTGTATTCACTGTACAGACCGTCGGCTCTGTTGTTGAGATCGAAGTAAGACATCATTTCTGTGTTCAAAAGTGTTGGCAAATATTCCCCAAAATTAATGTAATTATATTCCGCTTCGTTTAGACGTCTATTAATTAAAACATTAATTAAACGGTTAATATTGATTAACACAAAATACATGAACAACCAAAATACCAATTTAAACGTGGTTTGTAAATAACAAATTCACTACACATGTACAATCATTGATAATTAATAGTAACTTATTAATCAATGCTCATTGTATACCTGGCCTCGTGATAAAGCTTATCGTCATCCCAGTGGGGATTAGCGGCCGCTAATCCATCGCAGTGTTGATTATGTCTTATGACACACGCTGTGACCAAAGCG